AATCAGGAGTGGGGGAGCTTCAGCCAACCCCACCCAGAGCACATGGGGAGTGGGAGGCTTGGGGTTGGGGCAATCCTGGATGGGGATGGGGAGCATCCCCAACCAGCCCCTTTTACCTGCCTGATGATTCTGTCTCCTTTCTGACCAGTTTTAGGAGATGCAATCCCATTCTAGTCACATTCCATTTTTCTGGCACAACCAAATCCTTATTTTGCTTTTAGTTATAATGAGAGGAAGTTGAATACCAAATTTGGTGGTCCTAGCTCTTACCATTTACAAGATGTTCTTGAATAGACAGACGGAGACTCTCTCAAATATATATAGTAGATATATCTATCACTCCATTTGAGCACATGGCCACTAGATAGTTTCTCTTACTATATCTCTTTCATTGATTGCGCTAAGAAAGCAACCCCCGACTGCATTACAGTTCTGGTCTATATTTCAGCATTACTAGAACTACTGGTAATTATTCAAACTTATGACAGTAATTTCTTCCTGGACAAAAATACTAAGCTTGTCATTAAAAAAAAAAAAAAAGAAAAAAAAAGAAAATGGGCAACAGAGAGTGGATCACTTGATGATTACCTGTTCTGTTCATTCCCTTTAGAGCACCTGACATTGGCCACCATTGGAAGACAGGATACTGGGATAGATGGACCTCTGGTTTGATCCAGTGTGGCCATTCTGATGTTCTTAATAACCTGAAAATAGTTTAGCTGACTGGCAGAATTTTTGAAATAAGGCCATAAGCTTAGCTCAGGCCTGTTTTATTCTGATTAGATATGCAGTGTTATCCTACAACTGGCTCTAATCATTGAGTGATTTTAGTTCCCAAATACCTGTCATCACCATCACTGATGCACTCAGGAAGAGCAAGGCTACAGCCGAACAGCATGATGTGTTGATAGCAGCTGAGGCGGTTGAGATAACTGAAGAACTTGAGGAACTTTTCCATTTCAATGTTTTTGACAATGGAAAGAACAGATGTTAGAGTGGTGTGGTTATATGGCAGCATTTGGCACTGGCTGTAGGTGATATTTATGCAGGCACCTGTGAAATCAAAACATATATTTAGATTTAGAACATATGAAACCAACTACAATATTATATGGTGGTAGTAAGTATCTGCAGAATAGAATAGTTAACATTAAGCACTATCACATCACAGCAAGAAAGATGAGCATTTTCCTAGTGTTTGAAGAATCAGGGAAAGTTTGGCATTTCATTCTGGATAAGCAGGCAAAAGTTTGGCTACTTTCACATTTATCTGAACCTTTTGGTTTTTAAACTGGACTGGAAACTATACATAACGAGCTCCCTCACAAGTTTTATATTAAAGTTGGGATAGACAGACCATGAGAATATCCTCTTGTGGAATTTTTACATAAATGCCTCTGACTGAAAGAGGGAAGGAAGCAAGAGAGATCAATTAAGGCTAATAGTGTTCTGGATCAACTAAAATCTCGGGCCTTCCACAAGCTTCTCTTCCTCTTTTTCTTTTTAAAATTCATTCTAATCGTTTTTTCCATTCCTAATTTTTATACAATATATTGAAGGTACTTAAAGGACCCCCAGAAGACTCAGCAAAAAAATCAAAGGGTATAAAATCTTGACTACATTGAGATCAACAGAAAGACTCCTACTGACTTTATTTGAGCCACAGTTTCACCCAACAGCTTTTAAGATTTCCTCTCCTTTCCATACTGCTAATAAAAATACAACACTAACTTGAGGACTATCAGGCTTTTCTACGCCACTACAAGAAGCATGCATACACCACTCAACCTTAAATTCTCTCATGGTGAGCACTTTTGGTATGCAGAGTGCCAAGTACAGCCAAGTTTTTCAGAAGAATTTGAGGCCAGATTTTCAAGTGCTCAGTGCCCACAACTGAGGGCAAATTTTCAGGAGAGCACATAAAGGCCAGATTTTCAAAGGAGATCAGAAGTAGTAGCTCCCATTGAGACATTTATGGATAGATGTTCAGAACATCTCTATATTCAATTTATTTAATTTTTCTGAAAATCCAGACACTTATTTTGACATCTATTTGGGGCACAAAAGTGAAATGTTTGCAAGCTGCATGGAAACACACCATAACAGAGGCTCAAATTAAATACGTATACCACCAAATCCAGAACTAAAAGGACCTAAAAAAGTAATTTTAAAAAATATTATTGTCACAAAAATTAACAAATACAATAAAATAAAATACTTCAGAAGCTTGAAATCTGCCACGCAATCAGTGGTGGTGGCCCGAGGCATACCACCAGGTATTTTAGGGTATTTTACTGAAAGTGTGTAAAAGTATTTAGGACACCTGAAAAGTGTCCTAATAGCTTATTAATCTTATCTTGGCATAATCACTATTAGACTCAGGGTCTATAATTTCACATTCTTAAAAAAAATATTTTAATCAAATTTTAGAGAAGGATTTATTGAGCATATCCTTCCACAAAGAAAATATTTTCTCATAGAAGACTAATGAAAATATTAGGGGAAAGCTTATAAACTCCTCTATAGTTTGAATATGGTTTTTCTTATAATTATCTGTTTATATATACTTAAGTTCCTGTATGTTTTAGAGCCTTTCCTCAATGAGCCCACCTGCCCTTCTCAGCATTAACGTGTGGCCCAAAATGCACTTTAAAACTCAATTTTTATTGCAAAAATTGATCTGGGTGTAAATAGCACCCAAATGAATTAAATGGACCATGAACTGGTGTTAAACTATAGCCAAGAACGCTGAGTTCATTGAGGAAGGCAGCTCCAACCAGCTCATAAATCAGTTTTTTTAAGCAATAGTGCAATGCAAAGAAACCAGGCTACGTCTGGAAAACTGCAGAGTTCTGAGGCCAGAGCTCTGAAGGGAAACAGCAGCTTTCCTTTAAATGGTCACCAGGAGGAGCACTTGCCATTAAACATAACGGGCAAAGAGCTGTTACTTCTTTGTTTGCTAATAAAATATTGCAGCTGTGCAGATGGAAGTCAACACACAGCAGTGATATCATAGAATCATACAGCTGGAAGAGACCTCAGGAGGTCATCAAGTCCAGCCCCCTGCCCAAAGCAGGACCCAATTCCAACTAAATCAACCCAGCCAGGTCTCTGTCAAGCCAAGACTTAAAAACCTCTAGGGATGGAGATTCTACCAGCTCCCTAGGTAACCCATTCCAGTGCTTCACCACCTTCCTTGTGAAATAGTTTTTCCTAATATCCAATCTAAACCTCTCCCACTGTAATTTGAGACAACTATTCCTCGTTCTGTCATCCATCACTACAGTGAACAGCCTTTCTCCATCCTCTCTGGAACCTCCCTTCAGGAAGTTGAAGGCTACTATCAAATCCCTCTTCACTCTTCTCTTCTTCAGACTAAATAAGCCTAAATCCCTCTGCCTCTCCTCACAGATCTCGTGCTCCAGCCCCTAATCATTTTGCTTACCCTCCAGTGGACCCTCTCCAAATGCATCCACATCCTTTCTATGGGGGGGGGGGGGGACCCCAAAACCAAAAAAAAAACCCCAAGGGGGAATAATCACTTCTCTAGATCTGCTTGCAGTGCTCCTCCTAATGCAACTTAATATGCCATTAGCCTTCTTGGCTACAAGGGCACACTGTTGACTCACAGCCAGCTTCTCGCCCACTGTAATCCCCAGGTCCTTTTCCGCCAAACTGCAACTTAGCCATTCAGTCCCCAGCCTGTAACAATGCTTGGGATTCTTCCATCCCAAGTGCAGGATTCTGCACGTCTTTATTGAACGTCATCAGATTTCTTTTGGCCCAATCCTCTAATCTGTCTAGGTCACTCTGGACCCTATCCCTGCCCTACAATGTATCTACCTCTCTCTCTTAGTATCGTCTGCAAACTTGCTGAGGGTGTAATCCATCCCCTCATCTAGGTCATTAATAAAGATGTTGAATAAAACTGGACCTAGAACCGATCCTTGGGGCACCCTGCTAGAAACTGACCACCAACCTGATATCGACCCATTAATCACTACGCATTGGGCCCGACAGTCTAGCAGGCTTTCTGTCTGTCTGACAGTCCTTTTATCTAATCCATACTTCCTTAACTTGCTGGCAAGAATATTGTGGGAGACCATATCAAAAGCTTTGCTAAAGTCAAGGTATATCACATTCACCATCTGTCTCATATCCTCATCAAAGCTAATCAGATTGGTCAGGCACGACTTGCCCTTCATGAATCCATGTTGACTATTCCTGATCACTTTCCCCTCTTCCAAGTGCTTCAAAATGGATTCCTTGAGGATCCCCTTCATGATTTTTCTGGGGACTGAGGTAAGGCTGACTGGTCCGTAGTTCCCTGGATTGTCATTTTTCCCTTTTTTAAAGAGGAGCGCCATTCGCCTTTTTCCAGTTATCCAGGATCTCTCCCAATCTCCACGAGAGTTTTTAAAAATAATGGCCAAAGACTTTGCAATGACATTTGCCAACTCCTTCAGTACCCTCAGATGCATTAAATCCGGACCCATGGATTCGTGCATGTCTAGCTTTTCTAAATAGTTCTTAACCTGTTCTTTCTTCACTGTACTCATCTTCTTCCCATACTGCATCGCCTAGTGCAGTAGTATGGGAGATGACCTTGTCTGTGAAGACAGAGGCAAAGAAAGCATTGAGTACTTCAGCATCTGTCACTAGCTTACCTCCCTCATCCAGTAATGGACCCACACCCTCTCTGATCACCAGCCTATTGCTAACGTGCCTGTAGAAACCTCTCATTACCCTTCACATCCCTTATTAGCTGCAATTCCAGTTGTGCTTTTGCCTTCCTGTTATCTCCCCTGCATTCTCGAGTAACATATTTCTACATATTTATACACCCAAAGACCCAAATGGCTGGAAAGATTTTGACTCTGGATAATCAGTGCCCATAGCCATATACAGTTTATATCCTCCATAGTTTGGTAGAATTTAAGGCAGTCAAGTTTTGGTCAGCAGTAAGGAAATAAAATCCCATTTAATTGGTTAACCTGCTAAGCTGCTCCAACCCCCACTAATTAACTGGAACCAGTAAGCTTTACCCATTAAGGGTGAGGGTTACCATTTAACTGGTTAATCATTCATATCCCTATCGACAGGGAATCATATTTTTCAATTTCCAAGTAATTTGGAATCTCCATAATTTTACTGGCTGACATTTTCACGTAAACATTTCCCACGACCACTATGATTCGTTATTTCACTTGGCAAGTTGGGTACTTGATCTAGTTGGTGGTCAAAAACTATTAAGTCTCTCTACATATGCTACTGTAACTGGTTGAATCCTTATTTATTACTGACATATTTGTGCTCAAAAATTCTATTTTCAAGGTTCTGTACAAAAAGAAAAAAAATGGTCCTTGCACTGAACTTAAAGAAAAATGACCTCTCTTCTCAAACCAAGGGAAACAGTGAGGGGATGGAGGTAGAAAGAAAAAGGACACTGTACATGTGTTTGCCTGCAGCTTCTTAGAGTAATTTTTTCCCTAAGGTCCAAATTTTGCCTTCAAACACCAGTAGGAAAAACAATGTACTCCTCTACCAGATACCAATTCAGTAAAGATTCTGATTCAGAAAAGCACTGCTTATAAAAAGGAGAGAGAGTTTTCCAGCTTCTCAAAGAACTAGAGAACAGGAATCTATCTGGGCCTGGTAGCAGGATAGTCTGAATGAATCTTCCCCCTCTCTAATTTCTATGAGTATTGTTTTCTTCTTTGAAGCTACTCCAATGCTTTCTCTAAGGAAATACTTAGAATCACAGTTTTGTAATAAATGTCCAGTAGCAGGAAATCCACTTGAAAACCTCCCACAGGGAAGCACTTGAATTTTTTCTGTTTGGAAAAACCCTTTAGTAATAGGCAATAATTTTAAAACTGAAAGGGCAAGTCAACGTAATTAAATCAAAACTTCCTGCCAACAAATAGCCACATAATAAAATAAAAAAACTTTTGTAAAGCCCAAAATTTATAAAAGAAACCATGCTGACTTGCCACAGTAACAAATGGCAAAATATGATCTCACATGGAAAGCCTAATCTACCTTACAAACTC